GTTTTTCTTTTTTAATAAATCTGCAAAAATGTCAAAAATTCAGTGTTTTTCTGTCAATATGGGGTGCTGTGTGTACATTAATGAGGAAAAGAATGAACTTAAACGATTTTAGCATATGGCTGCAATATAACAAAGAGTGAAAAATTTAAGGGGATCTGAATACTTTCCATACCTACTGTATATATCCCAGAAGACTAGCCGCCACGCTGGTGGGTAAATGTTTGTAGCAAAATAGACAGGTAATAAAACGGTATCCTGGGAGTTTCTGCTATGGGCGCCCTGCTTCTGGCAGTGTCTGAGCTTGTATGCACACATACATATTCTATGACCGCTAGCCTCTATGCTTTCTGAGCCAAGTGTAAAAATATGCTTTAAACTGCCGTTACATACATAAAGCGTGAGTGATACACAAGCCGAAACGTGTAGTGTAGTCAGCTGGTTTGATCAATATATGTTTATCCGTTACACGTGTCTCAAAAACACAGCAGAAATGCTTTTGGTGTAGACACGGTCTGACACCTAATGTCTAACCGGTCATCTGGCCATAACCATTAAGAGGCAGCATCGCAGCAGGTAAACTACAGATAAATCTTCATGTGTTTGACTTGACCTTTATAGTGACAGCCCTTTTTGATTGTGTTATGTCATGGTAGGTAGAGTTGGGTGACGGTAACAGGTGCTGTTTGTGTTGCAGAGGTCAGCAGTTTGCTCAGCAGATGCAGCAGCAGAACCCTGAGCTCATCGAGCAGCTGAGGAGTCAAATCCGCAACCGAACACCCAGCACTGGAAATGAGGAGCAGCCGTGACACCTGCACATGGTAAATCCACAGCAATTTCCATCCATGAGATCAGGACACGTTTACAGTCGACATGTTGATGTTTCTCTGAGTTACTGTCCTCAGCTGCAAATTTTCACATTAAAAGCCTTCAATTAAAGCACATGTTTATTCCCTTTGAGCTACCAGAAGACATTTAAAACATCTAACACCAGCAAATGTTGAATGTTATCAACAGACATTTAGCAACAGTCAAAAGTAGAACCGAGTAGAAACAACTGGAAATAATTAGTTACATAACTAAGACGAACATTAGCTGAGTTCATTAGGATTACAGGTGAACATGAAGGAAGAGCTGAGTTTGTGGCAGCGGCAAATTAAAATATTGCAGACTTTAAAAACATGGCACTTTGTAAAACTAGTTTTTCATGCAGTCCCTTGTTTTCCCACTGTCACATTGCCCTTGTTGACTTGACTTTCCAGTCTTGTTTTTTATTTTTCCAGTGACTGTTGGTGTCCTCTGTGTTTCAGGCTGCACTGGTCTGTGTGTGGAGAGACGCACTATCCCTTTTTCTTTCTGATTTGGATCATGTTAACTTGAAGGACTGAGAGGAAGGTCTTTTCCCCCGTCACTGAATAATTCCTGCATGAGAGGGAAAG